CAGAAGCACCTTCCTGCCCCGGAATTCAGGTGTAGCTTTTATTGCCACAGGAGGCTGTTGTGACCACGAGTTCTGCAGAATTTGGAGCTGTGTGGGTAGGTGAATCCTGTATGAATTATTAACATAGCAGGCAGTGGACAGGATGTAACAGCAATGCACAAACTAGGGGAATAGGGGCAGCACGGGGGGCAGAACATCTTATCTGTCGTCTTAGTTGGGGATTTCTTGTACCTTCCAATGAATCTGGGTTGGTCTGTGTTACCGAATCTGATAGACGTTGTCCAGTGTAGCAGTTACTTTATTCAGATTTCAGTTACGATTGTCAAAATGGGCCTAAGTAGCAGTCAACCTTTAAAATTTAATCTCTTCCTTTATGACAGCGAATTAATTTGAAAGCTATAAACGAAGTTAACGGCGAGTGTCTGCTTTAGCTCTCGTTCTTCAAACAATCTTTCATCCCATTTAGGTTGAAAACAAAGCGGAGAGTGAAATTGAGGAAGGCGACAAAGTGCAAGAAGGAGAAAATGAGAGAAATCCAGAAAAAGAGCAAGACAGCGAAGTGACGGCAGACCCCAAGCCAGGTAATGGCTCCCAGCTGTTCCTCAAGCTGTGTTAGCTTTAACGGCCTTCCTCTGAAGTGGTCGGAACAGGCTATAAACTCCACGGCGGCAGAAATATTTCCTCTTGCACATCAGGCTGCTTCATGGTTCGGTAGTAAATATTCTGGTTTAATTTCGCCGCAGAGCTCGGGCGCTAAATCCTCTCTCGAACTCACTTTACACCGCGGCTGAGCTTTCTGTCACTGCGTTGCGACTGGGTGAAGAAATTGCAGTAGCGAAGTGCGCGTAGGTCATGGAAATTATTTTCTTTTGCCTGTGTCGCACGCCATTTGATCATTTCTTGAAGCAAAGAAATGGGACTGCTCGCTTCTGCCCTTATATAAGTTAATATGTTAGCTCAGCTTCCCTGTGAAGTGATGCGGAGCCTTTATTCTGACAGTCGAAGGAGTACTGGGTTTTTTTCTATGTAAGGCATTATTCTTATTTATTTTTAACACATTCCCCTTGTACCACATGGATATATTGTTTTTTTCCTGGAACTTATATTCAATATTTTAGCACCAGGTAGAACAAGAAGTATTTGGATTCATGTAATGATGGAGTTGATTTGGAAACGCAGCTGAAATGGTTCTGATGAGAGCAAGCTGGTGGCAGAAGATGAATTGGCGGGGTGGAAACTGTAAAAGCATTTTAAAGCTGCCCTATTTCTTGGATCAGATCCTCTTAGAGTAGAACCTTAGCGCTTGGACGAGTGGCAGTACTGTAACGTAGGAATGCGGCTGCGTGTGGAGGAATGTATTTGTGTGACGGGCAGCAGATTCCTGTCCTGACGCGGTGCTGGTAGCAAGGGGGCAACGCACGTAACGGACTTGGCGGGGGGAAATCTCTTTCAGAGGAAAAGGAGGCCGAAGAGAACAAGGAGAACGTTGATGCGAGCAAAGACAAAGAAAACGAGGCTGGGAAGAAGAAAGTGGAACATGAAATCTCGGAAGGAAACGTAGCTACAGCTGCAGCTGCTGCCCTGGCCTCAGCTGCCACCAAAGCAAAGGTTTGTTTCACACAAACGTCGTTGGCTTGGTTTCCAGTTCACGTTAGAGCTCTCCTTAAAATGGTCCTTTGTGCCAGATCTGTGCTGCTTCATGTTCTAATCTCCAAGATCTTGAAGGAGCTCAAGTGCCGCCTTCTGCTTGGACTCCTGAGTGAAACAGCATAGAACTTTAGTTTACACAGCTGCTTGTACAATGATGAAGCTGATGAACATCCCTGAGAAACGGCCCCAAGATGAGTTTGTCATTGTCTGGGGAGGCTTTTCCCCGCTTGGTGGGTCTGGCTGTAATGTTGAAGGCGTAGGTTTGGGAGGCAAAACCCTGAAGTCCCCTTTTTCGCTGTGCCGCCGGCTGTGCTGGGGACTTCACACAAGCCTTCCCTACTTGGACTCTTGGTACAATGTGATGTTCAATTCTAGCATTACAATTTTTTTTTTATAAATAATTATTTTTTTGTTAAGAGGTACTGTGTGCCTGTTAAAAGCATGTTCTTGTCTTCCTGCCATTAAACTTCTGTTTGTCTGTAGTCTCCTGATGAGCTGCAGCTTGCATCATGGTCCTATCTAACAGCTTTTCTTTACCCTATAATTACTAATTGCATGTTGTCTTTCATTTTCTTTCTGCAGGAACCAGACTGCCTTCACTGCTTTCAGAATATCTTTTTTATGATCCGTTTTCACATATTTTTTGTTTTCATTCAAGCTCTAGTTTGGGTTACTTCATCGCTCTTGGAATCGGTGCCCAGTTGCACGTCACGTACTTTATGGATACCAAAAGCAAAGCATGGATGGTATTTCCTGATGGATTTCCAGGATGTACTGGTGGACGTAATGAGGTGTTGCATGTGTCATACTGATCTTTCCAGTCTGATCTTTCACTCCTACAACTCTCAATTTTTAGACTTTTTTCCAACTGCATCGTATATATTGAGGGTAGTGTGATGGTAGGTGTTGTCGTAACGATGCGACCCCTTCCTTATGACCCCGTGAGGTTTGGGGAAATTTTTACTTACAGCCTTTCAAGCCAAGCTCAAAACCAGAAGCTGCATGAATTCAGCATGGCTCAGTGTCTGAGCTGGGCACCCCGGCGGTGTGGAATCCTGCTCCGCGGGTTCGTTACGCGGTGACTATCACAGAATATCACAGAATAGTAGGGGTTGGAAGGGACCTCTGTGGGTCATCTAGTCCAACCCCCTGCCGAAGCCGGGTCACCTACCGCCG